ACTGGGTGGCCCTTGTGGTCTCTTCTAACTCTATGATTCTATGATTCTATCTTGGGGTTTTCATGGCAAGATTTGTTCAGAGGAGGTTTGCCATTGCCTTCCTCTGAGGCTGAGAGCATGTGAAATGCCCCAGGAGCATTTCATGGCTCAGCAAGGAATTGAACTCTGGCCTCCAGAACCATAGTCTAAAACTCAAGCCACTATGCCACACTGATTATTAATTACAACATATTGATTACCACAGAGCCCAGGCCTATATAGGCAAGACGTCTGACAAAGAAGCTCCTCTTTACAAAGTCTTTTCCTTTCCCTTCAGTCCCCTTTTTCCTCCTCGTCCTTTGACTACCTGGAAGGTTTTTTTAGAAGGATCAGCAGGGGAAGATGGTGAAAGAGAGGTGCAGAAACACCGACATGGTAGCCTCTGTTTAAAAACCTCCAATGAAGGAGACTCCATCACTCTCCGAAGGAGTGTGATCCACTGTTGAACAGCTCTTACTGTCAAGAAGTTCTTTCTAATGTTGAGGTGGAATTTCTTTTCCTGTAGTTTGAATCCATTGCTCTGATCCTATTCTCTGGAGCTGCAGAAAACAAGCTTGTTCCAGCCTCAATACGACATCCCTTCAAATGTTTAAACATGGTTATCATGTCACCTCTGAGCCAGCATGGCATAGCAGTTTGAGTGTTGGACTACAACTCTGGAGACCAGGGTTCAGTTCCTGGCTTGGCCACAGAACCCACTAGGTGACTTTGGGCAAGTTGCACACTCTCAGCCTCAGGAGAAGACAATGACAAATCTCCTCTGAACAAATATTGCCAAGAAAACACCATGATAGGGTTGCCTTAGGATCGCCATTAATCAGGAACAACTTGAAACAACCCAGCAACAATAATAATCATGTCACCTCTAATTCCTACATATTAATTTTAGTATACCCTATATGCTGTACATCAGATATATAGTAATTTCCCAAAAGTAACACAAATCGTCCCAAATTGCAACATTGCACAATGATATACAGAATGCACACAAATGTGCATCAATACGCATCAATGTGCAATGTATGAGCCGGAGCAATGGCACCAGATGCTTAACTCTGCCTCCACAGTCTTCAACTTAATATGGAGGCTCCTTTCAGACAAAAACTGCTTCTGCAGGAGAATTTATGCACAGGTCAGACACCAGCCACATTCCACTGGAACAGCAATAGAAATATATCCATAGCTGGTCACTTAATAGTTTCCCCAGGGCTTTGTCTCTCTTCTCTTTCCTCAGCCCCAGCTTTTCCCTCTTTCTCTTTCCCTTGAGCTCCTTCTCAATGTTTCATTCTCATTCTTCTTTCCTTCAGCTGTCTGCTTCTCTGCTTCATTCAAATATAGTTGCACCCACCTACCCACCCCCAACCAGATGAGCACAATGCTATATTTATATATCTGTCTGCTGGAATGAGAATAAAAACACCCATCAAAGGGTGAGTGCATTTGTATGGATATGTAGATCAAGTCCTGGCACTATCATCTAAGAGTGGTTTTATCTCAAACCTTGGAAAATGTAACACTCTGTTGTGTTCCCAGACAATGGCTAATGTGATACAAGCTTCTGTGTCAGTGGGACAGTGAATCTACTCTAGGTTTTTAGTCCAAACAGTAAAGAGTTGTCCATCGAACCTGTTCTGGAGATAGGGTTCAGCACCGAGTGCATCTACATTTAAAAACAATACAGTTTGACGCTCCTTTAATTGCCATGGTCCCATCCTACAGAATCCTGGGGTTTGTAGTTTTGTGAGGCACCAGGACTCTTTGACAGAGAAGGTCTTGTAGAACCTCAGATCCCAGGATTCCATAGTATGGAACTTGGTATCAAGCTCCATCATCCCTACAGTGTAGATGTACCTACCTTGCCTAGCTCCTATATAGTTGGGCTAAAACCCATAGTAGATTCACTGTACCAATGACAGTGGAGTCACCAATTGGTTTTTGCTCTGTTGTATAGACGTATAGGGCAAGATCCTACAGCAACTCACACTCAAAGAATCATAGAATCATAGAGCTGGAAGAGGCCTCGAAGGTCATCAAATCCAACCCCTGTCATGCAGGAATACACAATAATTATGCTACAAAACCTTTGTGTTGGATGCCCATGTTGCACAACTCAACTCAGATACCAAATGTGCAACTAACTGCACATGTGCACCCATATGCAGAGTATGTGAGTGCAAGATATGGAAGCAAATATACATGCACACCCAGGTCCAATGCACAGTGAAAACCAATCTATCCATATTGTGGCACTTACACCATACTCAAGCACATGCATAGCCAAGTGTAACACATCTCAATATTTGATGTGCACAATGGACATTCATGAACAATGGACATGCAGTTCCATGCTCAAAGCACATCCATGTACAATGGCACAACATACACAATTCCACTGCCACAATCCTGAAGTGAATAGAGCTGTTCTGAGCTAGTGAAAAATATCCATCTGTTTCTGAAGAGACTTAATACGTTATTATCATCAACAGGAATCTGCCTGCAATCCTGCTTCCCCATTTGCTTTTAGTTTTATTAAACACACCAACCTTGCCCTTTCAAATTGTTCAAATTGTTATGAGATGATGGGGGACAGACGGTTATGCATATCATTTGACATTTCACAAATAAAACTGGGACATCTATGTATGATCAAGCAACATTAGATTTTAATCAGGATGCCAAAAGTTTTTAATGAGGAAGAGCACTCAAGCTAGGAGAGGTTGCAGCAGTTTGCTTTTGTTTGTTTGTTGGGCAGGGCAAGGTTCCACCTCCTCCTCTCCTCCCTCTGAGTTAAAGTGAGTACAAACTACTTGTGCACTTTCTTTGAATGCTGAGGACAAAGGGAGAAAGTGGGAGGAAAAGAGAGAAACTGGGACATATTAGAAGTGGTGGGGAAAGTGGGATGACAGAGGAGTAATGAAAACTTTTCCTGACAAATCAGGACAGTTGGAAGTTATGGGTGTGCCAGACAGAGCAAGAAAGGGAGCAAGGAAACACAATTCTGTAGAACTTACCATCTTCTTTTGCACATAGGAATAGGCTATGGCCATGTGGAGAAGTACTGTACCCCATAATATGTAGTGGAGAAGCGGGATATGAGATCATGTAGCACCTGCATAATTCTGACCTGAAGGCTAATTTTACACAGGAAAGAGGTTTATACCATCCATTCCAACTTTCACAGATGGCAAGCGCACTGCTCCTTCATCCAGAAAGTTGATGAAATCGCCAAAGGCCTCAGGCAACTCGTAAAATTTGCTGCTGCAAATGGGGCTTAGCTCACAAAAGTAGAATTGTAGAGTTGGAAGGCCATCTAGACCAACTCACTTCAAATACAAGAGCATCCCAAGAGATGCCCATCCAACCTTTACTTTGAAATCACTAATGATTTGTAGTCATATAGCTACAAATGTCTCTTTTAGAAAGTTTTTTCTATTGTACTACTGAAAGTGGTAGTCCCTGGACCAGCGCTGGTCTCTGAGTCATCATCAGCCACTAGTTCCTGGCAAGTTGGTTGTTTTTGTGCCTTCAAGTTGTTTTCATCTTATGGAAATCCTAAGGCAACCTTAGCACAGGGGGCAAGCTTCTTTGGAGGCGGTTTACCATTGCCATCCACTGAGGCTGAGACAGTGTGACTTGCCTGAGATTACCCAGTGGGGTTCCATGGCTGGCGGAGATTCGAACCCTGGCCTCCGGGATCATAGTCCAACACTTAAACCACTAGACCACACTGGCTCTCACCGGGTTTCCAGGAAAGAAAGGAATAGTTGCACCCAATAGGAACAAGTATGTTGCACAACCCTGGCATACTAAGAGAAAAAAATCATTGCCATCAGATGCCCTAAGCAGCACCATTGTAGTTGACCACTATGAGAATGAAGATGCTGGAGTTAATCTGAGTTTGGGAAAGTTAATATTGTGGACTACAAGTCCAAGAACCCCCAGCCTACATGGTCAGTGTCCACACTGATCAAGGGATATGGGAACCTATTGCAACTGATTTATTTGGATTATGTATTTTTGAGAGACAACATGGTATAGTAGTTTGAGCATTGGACTATTACTCTGGAGACCAGGGTTTGAATCCTCACTGAACCATGGAAACCCACAGAATGACCTTGGGCCAGGTCACACTCTCTCATACTCAAAGGAAGGCAAAGGCAACCCACCTCTGAACAAATCTTGCCAAGAAACCCTAAGATAATGTCACCTTAGGGTCACCATAAGTCAGAAATGAAGGCACAGAGCAACAACAAATTTTTATATAAGGGATATTGATTGTGGCAAGTTTATTATTACTTTCTAATCCTTGTTTATTACATATATATTCATTCATTTCCTGACTTGGTTTGTTTGCTTGCTTTTGATTCCTGAACCAGATTCTATATCCCTTTCTTCTCTTGGTTTTTTCTAATATTTCTAAGCTCTGGTCCAAATAAAAAAGTTTTTTTTTTAAATGTTCTTCTGGTTGTTGTCATTGTGTGCCTTGAAGTCATTTCTGAAGTGGCTCTATCACAGGACTTTCTTGGCAAGATTTCTTCAGAGGAGGTTTGCCATTGCCTTCCCCTGAGGTTGAGAGAGTGTGACTGGCCCAGTGGGTTGGCTGAATGGGATTCCAACCTTGATCTCCCAGAGTCCTAGTCCAGCAGTCAAAATACACCATGCTGGCTTCTGCTTGCTGCTATATATTTTCATTTAGTGTGCTGGGAGCTCACATTGTTGATGTTGTGTGCCTTCAAGTTGTTTCCAACTGTTGGCGACACTAAGACAAAATTGGATTTTCTTGGCAAGAATTGTTCAGAGGGGCTTTGCCATTGCCTTCTTCTGAGGCTGAGTGTGTGTGACTTGCTAATGGTCACAGTGGGTTTCCATGGCCGAACAACAATTTGAACACTGGTCTCCCCGAGTTCTAGTCCAGCACTCAAATTACTATGCCATGATGGCTTTTTGGGAGCTCATAATGGTCAAATCCAATTGTCTAGCCTCAACTAGAGAAGGTCCATTGAATTACAGTCAGCCTTCCAAAACCACAGATACTTGCTCCACAAATTCAACTATCCATGGCTTGAAAATATTTATATTTATATAAAACCAAACCTTGATTTTGCCATTTTATATAAGGAAAATAATTTTACTATGCCACTATATTTAATGGGACTTGAGTATCCACAAATTTGTATCCATGGGGGGTCATGGAACCAAACCTCAGTGGATACCAAGGGCTCGCTGTATTGGGAACTTAGTGTTAGCATTTATTTAAATTCTATTTAAATTGAGTCAATGGATCTACTGAACAGACTACTCCAAGGGCAGATTTAAGATAAGTTTAATTTGTCATTGCACTTCTTCTTGTTCTTGTCGTGTGGCTTCAAGTCATTTCTGACTTATGGCAACCTAAGGTACTCTTGGCAAGTTTTTCACAGGGGGTTTGCTATTACCATCCTCTGAGGCTGAAAGAGTGTGACTTGCCTAAGGTCACCCAATGGGTTTCCATGGCCAAGCAGTGATTTGAACCCTAGTCTCCAGAGTCATAGTCCAGCATTCAAACCACTACACCACATTGGCACTTATTTAGTAAATTTCCAGGCCACCATAATCCTCCGGATGGGTCCCAAAGGATCTAAGGACGTTATCACACGGGGGCAAATCTGCTGGTTAATCCACA